GCCCAGGACCTGTGTGTGCCTGGAGTGGTCCTAGCTCGTTTGGCCTGTCACCCTACAGCAGAAGTCAGCCAAGGCCTCAGCCAGCCCAGCCTGGACACAGCGGCACAACGCCCACACCAATCCCAAAGGAGGTCAACCACAGCACACTTGCGGGCTCTTCTGCCCTGCCACAAGTCAAATACACAGGCAGTTTCCGTACTAGCAAAATACTTTTATTATTTTATAATGATAAAAGCAAGGAAAGTAAAGACCTCTTTTTGGTGTATACCGGTTAAAGGAATTGGAAGAATAAAGGGATTAATAGGATTTGTATGTACTTCTGATGACCATAAAAAGTTAACAATACTAATTGTTTGCCATAAAACTTATAGCTCCCCAAAAACAGATATATAAAGGATCATAGTTTTAAAATCTATAAAAGTAAAAAATATACAGTTGGAAGCTCTAACGCTTACTCCATCTTCAATATAAAATTGTAAACATTTATTTACACAAAGCACATGTGTATAACGCAAGTCCAAGCACCCTTTCTTCTGAGTTGTGGCTCTAGGAAGATGGGGACGTGCATGGCAGCAGTCATGGCCTCCCGACTCCCCAAAACCAGGTTCATAAATAAAGCCACGGGTAGCTCCCTGGAGGACCCAAGAATCACATTTTATTGCTATGACACTGCAGCAAGTGAGGAGCCTGCTGTCTGTGCAGCCAGCCTGGGACTTAGGCAGACAGCAGGGCTGGCGAGCGCCCTGGGGACTGGGGCAGGAGGTGGCCCTGGGAGACGGAGAGGAACAAGGGTCCAGAACCAGCCTTCGGCCCGGCTCTGGATAGAAACCTGCTGAAGTCGTCCTCCTTGTCGAGCAGGGGACCTTGCTCTGGGGATGGAGGCTTCACTGGCTTTCGGGCTCACCCCGCCTCTGAGAGCTGAGCAGGGGAAGGCAGTGTAGGGATTACAGGGAAATCGGCCACACGCACTAGTGGTGACAAATGGCTACAGAACATGGTCCAAGGATCCCCGGCAAAAAAGGCACTGCTGGTGCAAACAAATTACCAAAGTGACTGGGGCTGCTCACGGATTTCCTTGGCTCAGTTCTTGAGATACTCTGAAGGACGATCCACTCGGGGACTCCAGAGAGGTAGACTGCGCTGTGGCTTCCCAGCTGCTCCGCCCACACCCCTCTCTGGGACCTGGGTCTGCGCGCTCCCCATCCTGCCTCCTGCCTGGCCAAGAGCCAATCGTGTTTCCACAGACAGCCCATGCCTCGTACCCTATTCTGCGGGCTCAGCTCAGTGAAGCTCATAACAGACCTTCAAGGAGAATCTACCAGGACCTTTAGAGGACGTGTTAGTGTTATAAAGCAATGTTCAAAAGTGCAAGTCACCTACTGCGGGGGAGCAAAGCAGGCCAGCAGCGGAGTTCCTCCCCGGGGGGGCCACAGCCTCTCCCCGACCTCCTTCACAGGCTGGGCCCCCCCTCCCCCTCCTTGGAGAGCGTTGACACTCCCCACCTGGCTGGACAGGAAGCAGGCAGGTAGGAAGTGGTGGGCGATGAAGACCGGCGGGGCCAGAGCTGCGTGCACAACTGTTGCCCTGCCTGCTGCACGCATGCTACCAGAGAAACTGTAGAAGGCAGGGAGCCCTAGCACAACACAACTAGACCCCCAAATCTCCACCTGCAGCCTGGGACTCTGGCGTGTGCAATAGAGCGACACTCAGGGAGGACCTACTCTGGAGGTGGGAGGCGCTGCCGGGGTGCCTGGACTGGCGACCTCCCAACTTCCTGTCCCTTTTGGCATCTGTGGTCACAGCCTGCATGGATGGAAATGGCTTTCCAGCCACGCTCTTCCCCTGAGCCGACAGAGCAGGAAGACAAAGGCTCTTCACTGGGAGAAAACTAGGGTTTTTTTTTTCAGTGGAACCAGGGATTGAACTCAGGTCCTTTCGCTTGCCAGGCAAGTGCTTATTCCACTGAGCTATCTCCCCGGCCCCGAAAACTAGGTTTCCAATGCCATCTGATCATTTTAAACCATCATCTATGCTAATCTGTGTAGGAATTTTTAGAAATTATTTTCTAGGCTACAAATTACAAATAATTCTGCTATTTAAAGTTTCAGCAAAAATCTGTCCCAAATACTTGAGGCAAGTGGGGAAATCCTGGAACATCAGCACGAAAGCACAGGGGTTGACTGCCTGACACTGTGGGGTTGCATGGTTTTACTGCTGGGTGTTTGGTTATCTGGGCTGGAGACCATCTTTAAAACCCTGTTCTGCTGCCCCAACACCAGGCAGCGATGCCAGCAGAGGGGCCGGGGCCAGCCCAATGGACCAAACCTGCTGGCTCAGACCCCTTAGATCCAGACCGGCCAGGCCTCAGCTACAGCCTGGGTTCTGCCTGCCCGGCTGCCTGGGCCGTGGGCTTTGGTCCAAAGTAGTTGCTCTTTCTTGAATCTGAGAAGAAAAACAAGGAGAGCTGAACATGAAAACCACCACAAACTCTCTACTACTGAGACCCTAAAAAGTCGTCCAACTCATTCATCCACTCCTCAGAAGTCCTGTTCTTCAGCAAGGAGTCGATCAGGTCAGTATGTCCAGCCACACCAGACAGCCCGCTGCTACCCGGCTGCCCACTGTAGGTGAAGGGCAGCTCCTGGCCAGTGGTCCGCGCGGGAAAGGCCTGGGCACAGTGCAGTCCTGCTCGGTTGCCCATCTGCGAAGCAGGGCTCTGGCATAAGGCGCTCAGCTCAGGCCCTGCGGGGCTCAGGCCAGACAGGGCTGGCTGTGGGGTCGCCGGGGGAGGTGCGGGCCCAGGGGCGCTGGTCCTCTGCTGTGCGCTCGCAGGGGGCAGCATGGACCCTGCTGCAGCAGCAGAGCTCATGGGGGCCACGGGCCTACCGGGCACGGCCGGGGAGAATGGTGCCCCGGACAGCTTCAGGCGGGCCTGCTGCGCGTGGAAAGCGGAGGCAGCAGTGAAGGGGCTCACACCGCTGCTTCCCGGGGTCTGGCTGCTCAGGCTTGGCATTCCCTGGTGTTGCCACAAGGCGTTCTGGCCTCCAATGGCCGCTGGCACCCTTGCAGCGGGTGGCTTGGTTAAGCCAGGGGTCAGAGTCCCCTTGTTGTGCTGCTGGGAGAGGCCAGAGCTCCCCAGAGAGTTCTGTCCATAGGCAGCTGGCACCCCAGGGCCCGGGCCCATGCCAGGCTGCCTCGGAATGTGGGCGTGTCCATCAGCAGCCTGTGGCGGGGGCTGGGTGACCATCTGAGTCATGCCAGAGGCCAGGCCATAGAGACTGCTCTGGGAGCCGGGGAACTGGGCCACACCTCGGTCCTGTGGGCCTGAGCTGGGGGGGAGCGAGGAGACTGAGGAGTGTCCAGGGCCCATGGGCATCAGACTCCCAGGCTGAGGAAACACGCGAGGACAGCTGGGGTTGGATGGACCCAGGTGGCTCATGCCAGACACGGTGGCTGCAGATCCTAGAAGACAGAAGATGGTCAACCAAGCCGGCCCTTCTTGACGGCCATCCTTCCTTGGGGCAACAGGGTAGTACGTTAACCCCAGATGGTCACAACAGGGCAGGGCACCACTGAGAGAAGCCTGGAAGTCTCTCACAGGGCAGAGGCAGGTCCAGGATAGGGTGGGGCTCAGAAAGACAAGCAGGGAGGGCCCAGAGAAGATGTCCATTTGCCTTTCAAATATGCCCTAGTTCCTGGGAATTTCAGCAGCACCCGCCACCCCCCAGCCTCTGTCTTTGAGTGGCTCAGCTACTACAGTGTGACTCGGCCCGGCTGCGTGAGCAGCAGGCTGCAGGTGCCCGAGGGTTGGTGCCAGGAAGGGGGGGGCTTCAGGGCGAAGGCAACAAGCACTAGGCCTCAAAGTGTCACGCTGAGCAGTTGGGCGAACTCTCCGGACAAGCACAGAGCTGTGGAAGGCGTGGCAAGAGGCTGGCAGGACGGTGCTCAGTCAGGTGGCCAAGGCCACGCCACAATGCAGAGCAGAGGGGACAGGTGGAGCGGCCCTGCCGGTAGCACTCATGCCCTAAATCAACAAATGGGGAGGGAGGGTGCAGCTCGGGGGAGGTGCTTGTTCTCAGAAACCTCTGGCCCTGGCTGCTGGCGACAGGGTGACACCATGAACCAAGAGGGCTCTTCTGGGTAGCACAATCACTTTGGGGGGTAAGCCAATACTCAGCACTCAGTCTTTCCTCTTCCTCTCCATCAGCACTCAAGCAAGAATGGGCTGAGAGCTGGGTGTGGTGGTGCGCTTGCTTGTTATCCAGCACTCAGGAGGCTGAGGCAGGAGGACTGCCATGAGCTCAAGGCCAGCCTGGGATACATATTCGGTACAAAACAAAAGAAAAAGGGGCTGAGAAAACGAGCGTTTTCATGCCCACACCAACGTGAGCAGGGACACTTGCAAAGCTGGACCCAGTATTCTCACACGTGCCCACTAGGTCTCTCCAGGGCAAGGGGCTGCGGCCCACATCTCTGCGGTACTGCAGGGCAAGGCCACTGACTACAGAGAGCAGCACACAAAACCCCATCCCAAGAAGCAGGGAGGCCGAGCAGGTGAGATCTGACTGTGCAGGCTCCGTGCGTGCTGGCAGCAACAGCCCGAGCACCTCAGAGGTCACAGCAGGGACACAGCGGGCACCCTCCCTTTCCTGGTAACCGTCCACTGCTGACACTGTCTGTAACACTGGACAGCAAAGTGTAGAGAAAAGAAGCCAAATACCTTGAAGTCCAGAGTCTTGCCTTATCCAAAAATACAGTTGAAACTGGGTATGGTGGCTGCACACACCGTAATCCTAGCACTCAGGACCTCGAGGCAGGACTGCTCTGAGTTCAAGGCCAACCTGGGCTACACTGTGAGTTCAAGGTCAGCCTGAACTACATAGTGAGACCCTGACAAAACAACCCTGATCCTCCCCCACCAGAAAAATAATTTGAGACAGGGTCTCATTATAGCTCAGACTGGCCTCAAGCTTGCGGCAATCCTCCTGCCTCAGTCTCCCAAGTACTGAAATTACAGGCGTGTGATTCCTGGCTTTAGGGTTTTTTTTAATTTTATTTTTTTTTCCTGGCTGTAGTTTTAAAGAAATAAGGTCTTCCTGTATTTCCCAGACTGATGCCAAATTCTTCAGCTCAGTCTTTATTTTATTTATTTTGGTGGAACTGGGATTGAACTCAGGCCATTGCGCTTGCCAAGGAAGCGCTTATTCCACTAAGCCACCTCCCGGCCCGATCCCAAATTCTTAAGCCTCAAGCAATCCTGTCTCAGTCTCCAATAGCTGAGATTATTGGAGGTGTGCACCACCGCACCTGGCTGAGAGGGTTTTGTTTTTTACTTTTTTGGTACTAGTGGTTTAACCCAGGGCCTTGTACTGGGTAACATCCTCAGACTTCTTTTATTTTGAGTTGGGGGTATCACTAAATTTCCTAGGTTGGCTCAAATTTATAGTTCTTCTCCTGCCTCAGCCTCCCAGAATGCTGTGTACACCACAGGATTATAGGTGTATACCACCACACTCAGTTGAGAGGGTTTTGTGGTTTTTTGCAGTAGCAGGGATTGAACTCAGGACCTTGTGCTTGCCAGGCAAGCGCTTATTCTACTGAGCTATCTCCCTAGTCCAAGAGGATTTTTTTTTTCAAAGAGCTGTAAGAAGATGACCCAGGGTGATCTATAGCCAGCTTCCTCCAACAGACCAGGCTTCGTACAGCACACAAATGACTGTGTACCAGCACAGAGACAGCAGGAGCAGACACTCCACCCCTGCACCTGCCCCCTTACCTGTGAACTGTCCCACCTGGGGAGGGAAGGGGCTTTGTGTTGGATCTTGGTATTGAGGCGGCGGGCGGGTCAGATGGCGCTGATACTGCTGCTTCTCCTAGAGGACGCCAAGGCCAATGAGACATTATTATTTATTATTATTA